CTCCTTGCTCCCATGTGAGCTGCCTGCAGGACCAGTGCCAGAGTTCCGTCCGTAAGCTTGTAGTGGAGGAGACCGGGAAGACCTTGAAAGTGCAAGCTGGATGGTACACAGAGCGTCAGATGAAAGACACCTTGAAAATGCCAAAGTGGCTAGCCTAAGATTCATGTGGTCTTGAGATTTAAAACTTATGAGTTGGATTGCAAATGGGTGAAATCTATTATGATGTAGCCCTGAAAAGAATGTCATCATTGAATCACCCCTGAGGTGCGAGATTGACGCAGTGACCGCTTACACAGCTGACCGACCAAAGCTTCGAAGGCTATGGATGTTTCAATATGATTTCAACTTATTGCATCTTAAGTTATCATAGCCCGATTACCGGAAAATCATGGCAGGAAATGGAAGTATAATCCCAAGATCGAACAGCACTACAGCGAAGTGGATGAGTCCGGGGAGTTGACAAAGCGATATACCCAAACCAAAGAGGAGGAGGAAATCTGTGGTTCTGCCAGGCCCGTTGAGTTCAGGACCCTGTCCCTGGAGGACCCCGCGGCCATGGATCGAGGAGCTGAGGAAGAGGCTGCCGCTGACCCTCCAGGAAGTGAGCCCAGGCCACCTAATGCGGATGTGGAGAAGCAGGACTGACCGTTTATCGTAGGGGGAACCCTTGTCATGCAAGTATATTTACATTTTTTTGTCTATCAATCGATGACCCAGAGCAGGAAACACATGTGCTGTTGACCAAGTCCATGGAAGCTCTGTTGGCAAAGTCGGCCAAGTTGCGAGACATCGAGTCAAAAGTTGAGAACCCCAGGCCACTTTAGTATTGGTAGGATTGGCGTTCAATGATCACACAATCAAATTTGAATCAACAGTATTTGTTTTCATGAGTGACCTTTGCATCATCTCATTTAAAGCCATACCCTAAGTGTGAAGTCGATCCTCAAGACTGCCTATGAAGCCATGGACACTCACTATGATGCATTGGCTACAAGCCTGGCTCGCTACCGTGCAGTGAAGACAAAACCGTCTGATACGTTTCTTTGGCACAATCATGTTGAATCTATTGTTATAAAATGGTATATAGCAAAAACATTACTGACATTCCATCAGCCCCGGCACTTTGAGGTTGGCTCAGAACATTGACAAGCAATTGGAATACGCAGAAGTCTTGTGCCTTGATTTAAAACCACTCTGAACAACTGGATTTCTATGGGTGGTGGAACCATGGGGTTTATGTTTTTTGCCGTCCCAGGGGAAGCAAGGCTACACGTGCAGAAGTCCAAGCCCAGCATTCGCCCCAGAAAATTCTGGTGAGAACAGTGTGAACATACATGTGCATATGTATATTCATTCATATTATATCATATATATTTGAAGTAGAATCGATCTTATAAAGTCTGATACACATATCACGGTATATCACCACATGGTCATACCTAAGGCCGGCTTTGAAATCTGCCCGGACCAAGCGCAAGTCTGAGAACGACGATACCAATTCTGAGTTGCCAGCACCAAAGGTGCCAAAGTCGAAGGCAAAGAGCAAGGCGAAAGCCAAGTCTGCCAAGTAAAGGCAAACTTCATGAAATGGGGTTTTGCAATTCTGAAATGATTTGCTTTGGATCGATCTCACAGCCCTTTCAAGCGTGTGGTTGCATTGGAGTCAACCCTGAACATGCTCACCTGGGCCTAGCGTGAATTCCATGAAAAAAAATCGTCCACGGGTAGTGCAACAAATCTTATCCATGCAGTGCAGCATGCCCAGAAAGACCCATCCCTGGCCTTCCCACTGTTTCTGTAGATCCCATTGCCATCGCATCAGCACCTTGGCCATGCCAGGTGTTGTTGGACCAATGGGAAAGCATGCAGCATCGTGCATTGCAAATGGTGCCGGGGACCCAAGAGGGAAAGGGTGAAAAAAAAAAAACTATATCAAACTATGAATTATATTTGGATACTTTGGACAAGCCACCATTCTGGAGATTTGGCCCAAAAGACAAACAAAAAATCAGAATAGTTTAGTCGTCAGCTCCCCATGGATACTCGAGCCCGTGTAGTTGAGAAAAGGGAAAGAATTCTGGCCTCATTGAAGGCTTCATTTGAAGCTTTGGGTGTTCACGACCCAGACTTGCCCTGGGGGTTTGTGGCAGGACCCAAACGGCCTTTTGAAAAGCATGCCTTTGAAGCAAGGCAAAGACTCCGTGATTTGGAGCAACTACAGGTTCTGGATACGGTCATTAGCAATTGGAAATTCATCAACTTGGAAGTGAACCGTGATGAAACCGATCAAAATGTGAGCTGTGGCAGCTGAGTGGGCTTTTTTCAATTGCCAATTCGTTATGGCTAGGCCATGCAGTATGGCTTGCGCTGTTGTGCAAATTTGCTTAAATGTGCACGCTGTTGTTCCCACGTGGTGCTCCCATTGCCCTACGTGATGCTGAAAATTACATGACATACGCTAGCGATCCCTGGCAAAGAAAAAGGTCAAAAGCTCCTGCTTCAAAGTTTTTTTTTCTCACATGATCTCCTTCACCAGATCTCTTTCACATGAATCCTTTCACATGATCTCTTTCGCATGATCTTTTTCACATGACCTCTTTCGCATGATCTCTTTCACATGACCCTTTTCAGATCTCTAGCTTATTGTACCCCCAACGATTGGATTTTGATCGCCCAGGCCACCGCCAAGTCTGTAGCTGAGATGAGCAAGGCCGCAGTCGATCATTATGGATCTACAAGTTGCCCAATCACTTCCCGTCTTGCAAGTGTGCCAACTAAGAGAGCAGAAGACGAATGCCATAAACTGTGACGTAGCTGAAGCTGACTCCATATGATCCCATATAAAAATTACGGCAATTATTCTTTTTAGGGATGCTTTGGGTTGCATTTCAACTTGCACTTTTTAACTTTGAACCCTGCCCCAACCAAGGTTTGAGAAGCACAACCTGGCGTTGAAGATTCCGGTTTCCTGGGTTGACTTGGATGGTGGTGATAGCTACCCTGTGCTCAGTATGCTTGACACCATTGACTACTTGGTTCAATCCAACAACTTGTCCAAGTTGTTTGGGGAACAACCCATGGAACAAGTGCAACCAATGTTGTTAGAGTTTTGGCGACGTTACAGCCTTGAATGGCCAGATTATGGAGTCTTTCGAGCTGCTGCTGAAAACAAGCTGTCGCTATCACGAACAATTCCAGTTTACATTCATGGTGATGAAGGTCGTGGATTCAAACGATCGGGTGTCATGATATTGAGCCTACAAGGGGCCATTGGTCGTGGCAGCAAACCTTTCCTCAAAAGACATCCAATTAGATCTCTTCGTCAACTCAAGATGGGTATCAACCTTCAAGGGAGCTCTTTCAACAGTCGAATGCTGTTTGTTGCAATGCCAAAGAAACATTACAAGGCGAAACCAGATTCTGGGACTATGATATTATTCATTTTCTATCCTCTTAGATTGCCTTTGGTTGTCCTTTCCTGTGACATTAATTTTAATCCCACTCAGCCCCCTATCCTTACTCAGGAGAATTTCCAGGCTGTACTCAACAAGATGATCAATGACCTCCTCAAACTTCAAGACATTGGGTTTACCTACGCAGGGGAAAGATGGAACATCGCTTGCTTAGGTGTGAAAGGGGATCTTCCGTTTTTGAGGACCGTTGGAGACCTGACGAGGCATTGGCAAAGGGCGCACAGGTCAGAGGAAAACAAATCTCCTCCTGGGGTTTGTTGGATGTGTTTGGCTGGCACAAAGCCAGGGGGGCCTTTTGAAGATTTCAACATAGATGCTCAATGGTCTGTGGTTGCTACAGTTGATCCTTGGGTTACACGACCTTCAGTGCTGCAATTGTTTCATTGTATCGATCGTCCCCATGACTATCTCAAGACTGATGTTTGGCACAACTACCATGGAGGAGCAGGTAAAACTTTCATAGCTTCAGTGCTGGCTGAATGTTTGCTTCTTTTGCCGGGGTCAAGGGAAGACAAAATTTCCCAGTTGGATGTTCTCCTACGTCAGTGGGCCAAACGGCCGGGTTGCAACCTTCCTCATTCAGGTCCATTTGTTGCGGAGAGAATTGGCCTTACAAGCTTCCAGGTCTTACCTGAAGGAGGTTGGTCAAAGTTTGCTGACACGCATATCTACCACAGGTTTGTGGAATGGTTCTTGACAGGGAGGATTAATCAATTCAATGAGGACGAGTATTTTTTGATGATTCTTGAAGCTGTCAAAGCGGCCAACGACACTTTTTCAATTCGTTACTCGTCTGGGTTGTGGCTGACGTCCAATGAAGCGCTTGCAGCTGGAAACAACGGAAGAAAGTGGTTACGTATCTATGCAAATCTTGCCTATAGGTGCTTCACTGAGCGAAAATCACGCTTCCCGATCTATGTTAAGTTTCACATGTTGGACCATCACTGGCGTCGTTTGGTATCTGGAGCCCAAAACAAATGGACACTGAACATCCTAGCGGAGTCAGTGCAGGCTGATGAGGAGTCTAGTTTGAATTTATTTGAATTTTGATATGTTGGTCGTTATGTGGTCCTATCCTAGTATGTGTCATCACTGTTGTATTTTCCGTTCCCTGGGGATGTCTCATTTCAGGACTTTGTGGGGAGATGCTGTCGCGTCAGCCGACGCATTTCCCCCAGGGCAATTGGATTGAGAGTACTTCAAAGGTATCTTGTGATGGCAAACAAAGCGTGGGTCAACAGCCCGAACCCTGACACTCAGCAGCCGACGAAGAGAAGCTTCGCCGAGATGACGGGCCCGCTTGAAGCTGATGGTCCAAAGCACAGAAAAAGGGGGAGTGAAGCAATTGTGTGTGATTATGGCTGAACCCCCAAATTGGGAAACACCCGTAAGCCGTAATGACCAAAAAAAATGGTTGAGGCCGTATGATCAAAAAAAAACATTCATTTGGGTTCCTAGGTATATATATGTTGTTTGTTTCTTTCTAGACTTGAAGAATCCACAAAATAATGAAATGAGACTAGGCTCCTGTGGTGGGTAAGACATGCGAACTCGCGTGCCTGGGCGCGATGCTGCTGTGATGGTGGTATACTGGGGATATGATGGCGATAACATGCTCATCACTTTAGGATCATCATCCCCTTTCTCGGGTGGAAAAAAACATATTTGAAACCACCACCCAAATGGGTATACTATACTATACTATACCATACCATACTATACTATACTACACTACACTGTACTATACTTTTCTATATATACTATACTATACATACAAACAAATTCTCACTTACCTCGATTGCTATTTTTTGTTACTTGGCTCGTCTCATGAAAATCAGTTTATATAATTGCGTAGATACGGGCCAAAGCCCTCGTACTATTCAAGTCGTCCCATTTACAGCCACCCAGTCCCAAATAAGCATGCATCAAGTTCGAAACAAGCATATCAGGATCCACCAACCATGAACATCACGTTGATGACTGCTTGGGCATGCAAGCGCCGATGATGGTATACCCACCATATATCCAACACCAAACGAATCTTGGACATAGCCGGTCCATAGTTTTGACGAGCTTGACCCATAGCCGCATTACATACAAATACAACCTGTGCTGATCAAAAATGCCAAAGCAAAAACACCAAACACTTATCGAACGGACCACATTCATATAATCTATGATCTATATATAATGTGGTAAACCCAACGCCATGAACCCCCGCTGGGGCTATCAGTCCGACCTATTTCTGGTATTTGTTGGGATGTCTTAATTATTTAATTATTGGGTATACAAATACAACATCAACAGGAAACACAAATTTAGCACATTACCTACCACCCCCCAAAATAACATAGACCCTGTTTAAAAAATGGGGTTTTCACGACCAGTTTTTTCTCGAAACACCAACCAGGCGTCCTTCGTAGTGATTCTCTGGGTCAAGCAAAAGAAACTTAGTTGGGTGACGGGTGATATTTCTGGGTAAATGGAGGTTTCCTAAGTCATAGGGGTACCCCCAGTTCTCATCCATTTTAGATGGGGATTTTCCATGAAATAAACCCTCCAGCTATTTTTTGGATCCCCCATTTATGGAAACCTCCATTTGTCATTGCCATTCTTGATCCATGATTAGCATACAGCTGTCTTTCCATACATGCGCGAAGATCGGCGGCCTGCCTGCTGTGTGATATGTTCCGTTCTGCAGGTCGATCACTGGTTTCTGGCACCAGGTCGTTGAGTCGTTGATCTTTTAATGGGATGAAGGGAAACTTCACAGTAAGCCATAGTAAACCATAGTAAAACCATAGTATATAAACACTAGTCAAACCCTATACAGTAAATGTTTATGGCAAACACACTGGTTTCCTGTTTTTCTTTCCTGAAAGCATTGCATTGAATCTTGAAAGCAAACGAGTAAATCTGCAGGAAAGCGTTGTTTTAACACTCAAATGTTGGGGGTTGCTGGTTCTTGATCTTGGAAAAGTAATCGTGGGGATCGTGGGGATACCAATGATATAGAATCTATAGGATGAAATAATTATACCTATGCCTATATTAGTGTATTTTTGCTTATTTAAATGGGAATATAAGCAGTTTGGGAATACCATAAAGTTCGCATCATCATTTTTTCAAGCGTCAACAGTCACCATCATCCAGCCAGAAATCCAGTCAGAAATATATCGAAATCCATCAGCACCATCGCCACCATGTGCGCCTGCAAAGGTCCAGCAGCAGGAACACATTTCCCCAGCAAGTTGGCACCATAGCCTGAAGCACATCTGCAACTCATGGCATCCTTAGTGCCGCCATGGGGATGGCAAGGCGATCCGGTGATGGCAACGGTTGGATGATGACATCCTGTCAGACATCAAACCCCATGGAACCCGGTTTCCAACCATTGATTTCAACAAATATGATCTGAAAACACCGCAATTTGAAACTTCTCTCCAAACCATTGATATCCCTTCATGGATTTGTAAAGGTATAGTGATTCTCTGTAATCCCTTCCGCTAATAGTTCAATGCCACTGGACGGAACAAAACACCAGTTTACTATAATTTACTAATATATCTTCATTTGGGGTCCGTATGGGGGGGTATTCAATATCAGGGGGATTGGATTACAACCAGGGTGCACAATTTCTCACCTCGGACAATTGGATAAGTAGAGCTGTTCCTTAGTACCAAAACACACTAAATTCAACCCATACATCTTCAGTATCCAAACTTACTATATAATCAAATCATCGAACAACCATCCAATTGATATCAATTGACAGTGATGTTCAGCAATTTTCAGTACTAAACCATACTCACCCATCCACTTTGATCCATTTTTAGCCTGTTTTTTAGGGTTTTCGTCACGTGTTTCGCCGGTGTCCAAGGTGCTGTGCGCGGCAGCACCGAGCGTGGCGCCTCTCCAGGGCACTGCGCACAGCTCAGCGTGGGATCGTCGAAGTCCACGGCGCTCTGGTGGTGAAGCAACGAGGGCCGATCCGCCTCGCCGCCCCGATGGGGAAAGATGGGAAAGATGGGGATGGGGGGAAGGGGGAAAGGATGGGAAAATGATGAGTGAACGACCACTCGATGTAGCGTTAGCCGAGATTTTCAGACACGCACCTTTTTTTCCCAAACATGCTTAGATAGGCCATGATGGGATTAGCTAATTGGTTAGGAACTGGGTTATAAACCACAAAAAAAAAAACGATTATCATCCATTTATACTCACTGTACTAAGTACTTATAAGTTATATGTTATCCTATAATCCAATCATATTGCAATTAAACAATCAATTTACGAACTAGTTAATAAACTCCATGGTCCATCTAAGTGGTGAAGGTTGTTGGATCGGGATGAGGAATTTCACAATGGAAAATGAACGGTTTCATGCGGAAAGTTCATGGTCATGAGGCTTTAATGGGAAAACTTTTGATTGGTACAACATGTGGAACCGAGAGCTAAGTTGTTTCGAAAGTCAGTCAACTATGTGAACTATGGTTAGCCGCTACTGTTACTGTTAGTGATTCGATTGAAGGGTTTATAAACCAACAAACATGACTAGGGGGAACCACTTTGTAATGTGTTGGGGATATACAGTAACATAGAATTATACCCCATTATATAAAAAGAAAAAACGATCAGGGATGGTTTCCTATTGGCTCCTTCTCATTACCTGGATATCATCACTGCCGCTCCGCAGCAACACGTCCTGGCCTGCAAAGCAACATTTCTCAACCTTGGGCGTAGAATTGAGAGGCAGCTACCGCAGCCCATTTCAATGGATCTTGGCAGCTGTTTTTTAGTGCTGAAAAAACTGTTCCATTGTGAACAAATAATCAAGTGCCAAGCCCACAATGCCACCTCATATCTGGCAAAGCTCTGGTTGTCATTTACAAATCCACAAAGTGGTACAACCCCATCAGAAACTGAACTTGTCTGCGCGTCTCTGGTTTTTGCTGTTGCAATCCCAAGTCTTCTTTGTTAAAACTAATGATTACTCATGGTGTTAGAGGTATCAAAATGTCATTCCGTTGCACAAATCGTATCTAAGCTGACACTGGAAACTCCCTTTTTCTGACGACCAAACTGAAAACAAACCAATTTCAAAATGATCCCCTTTACTAAACATGTACGGTGAGGTCGTTGTGAGTATAATATCCCCAGAACTACGCAAGGGTCCTTGAATACGTCCCAACACTATCTAAAAAACATGGGACACAGTGAACAAACATCATCACATAATTCATAATTCAGTCTTTTTACATGTCTTTATAGTCACTAACATTCACTAACATTGGTGAAATATTGGTGATATTCATGGATCTTCACCGTGCGTTTTGCGACCCAGACGCCCTGGCACCACCAAACGCAAGCTCTCTGGCGCAGGAGTTTCCACCTGGATGAGTCAAGCTGGTGCTTAGATGATCGATGGGATATGGGATTAGTGATTCCATGTGATTCCTGCTTAGCAACTGGAGCAACTGTATTGAAAAATAATATAAATCGGGCTCAAGCTCCGTTCCAGGGGGTGCACATGTCCAAACAAATGCGCGAACAAAATGCCACTTGATTCATCTTCACAGCGCACTTCTTGGAGATGTCGATGCGTCCCTGTTGCGAATCTCACCATTTAGGCATGTATCACAACCTCCGAGTTTCTCATATGCGATGTGAATAGAGAATAAACATGCCACATCAAAAAAAAAATGTTGGAAACCCAACAAGAAATGGGGAATCCCTGCAATGGATTCAATAGATTCAGGCCGTTAGATCTGGGAGCCCGAAACTTCAATAAGACCAAGGCTTTTTGACTTGGGAAATATACGGTCAATCCTGTGAAATCAAGGCCATGAATTGGTGTGTTAGGGAAATGTCATAGGAACCCCCTAGTTGAGGAATTCCATAGTTTCCGCACAAACTTGGGCGCCAAGTTCCATAGTTGATCATAACTTGCCCCATTACTTCGTAGTCATGAGGGTATAGGTCGAAGTTAGGTACCCTAACTTCTACGCAACTAATCAAAAAGTAAAATAATATGTGGTCCCACAGGGCTTAAATGTTGACTCATCTCCATGAACTGGAATACATCCTTCATGTTTGGATTGTTCCTGTCCACACTATTGCTGCTGGATGACATCCCCATATATCCCCCTTAGGACTGTTTGATGTACCGATGATTGCAGGTCAAGATAGCCACGATTGCCGGGTAATATCCCCATGTATTCCCATCATTGTTGGATAATGGATCTATTCTTGCTGCTTAGTATGCTCTGCTTAAAAATGGTCCAGCATCTGGTTAAGATCCAAAAGGCCGCACATTGGGTTTGCCGCAAACAAACAACATGTGGAGACAGGAAAAACATGGAAAAACCCTGTTGGTAAGCCTTGGGCAGGGCAAGACATTCTCAGACTGACCAGTTAGCAGATCTCCATGTCTGATGATATCCCTATGGAGTTTCCAGCCTCCAGGGAGACACTTGTTGCTGAGGAACCGCCCCACACAGAGACCACAGCCACCTCCGTGTCAAGAATGAGCAAGTGTGGATCTGTGATAATGCATGGGTGTGTGTGACTGAATCACTAGATCTATTCATCTATATGAATATATATATATTCTATCTACATATATTTATATCTATATTTATATTTATATCTATATCTATATATATATGTGTATATATATCTACATCTACATCCATATATATCTATCTTTATACGTCTGTATCTATCTATATAATTATGTGCTTATGATATCCTATGTATGAATATGTTGGCACATATTTCATATCTGTACAGCGGGCAACTTCAACATTGAGACAGGCACGAGGTGTGCATTGTACCCAGTTAGATGTGGCTCGAAGCATGAGATGCGACACCTGCTGAAAGAGCATTGCAGCATTCCGAGGGGATTTCTACATCTGTTGATTTGTCACATGGCCAAACCTGACAGGCTATTTCTTCATGTTACCTCTCAAACAATTCTTGGTGGCCTTTTTTGTTTCACATGCACATAGCGACATACCTCAACCAATGGTTGTGGTTCAATGGTGGTGTGGTCAGTGGTTTGGAATCACCAAGGGATTCCGTTTCATGATGTTGTTGATCAGCCATGGAACCGGTTGTTTCAAACCATGTTCCTACATGTGTCGTCTATAACAATGAGATATAATCATAATTCCAACTAACTTGGTGAATTGGTGAACCCAAGAATAAACCATCACCAGCAACCAATCAGTTCAGGCCCTTTTACATCACCTCAAGTACACATCCAAGCATACACTCCACTTGAGTCTATTAATTCTATGTTGGGTTGGGTTTATACCATTAATGTAACCTCATTATACAACCAATTAATGGTTACCTTCTATGAATGGTTGCCTCGCTATACAACTCTGGATCTAGGATGATTCACCAAGCTGAACCATCCCTCTGAAAACATTTCACGCCGTAGGCCGGTCGTCACAATGCATCCCTCTATGTATCCCCTGACTCACCAATTATCAATATGAATATCCCATGACATCCCATAAATTCCCATGAAATAACTCATGATCCTGTTATATCCACTTCTATCCCCATTGAGTAATCAAACATGGCAAGCTGGATTTTCCCATATTTAGTTCGTTGATTTTCCAAGCTATAAATCTCCAGCTATCGTGGATTCCCCAGTCAGCCACGTTTGATGACACCGGAGAGTAACCATATCATATCACATATTCATTACATCCCGATTTTGTGTAACCATTAATAACCACTGCTGGAGGTCAAGTATCCCATATTATCCTAAAGTTTTACATTTATAATGGGATATACTATTCCCATAATTAAGTATGTAAAGCCGCATTGCTGGATTATTCATCACTGTATGTAACATTATATAATCATGTGTCCCATTAAATAGACATTGGTATACCCATATTATCCCATGTTGTCGCATATTGTCCCACATTTACTGGATTACTGCATCTAACCATTATTTCATTACTGTATATAAGATTTTACAATCATATTAGCCCATGAAACATATTATCATATCACCAGTCTGGACATCCCAATATCACAATCCATGAATATCATCCCATTAAATAGTGGATAGTATCCCGTGGGATAGATTGATCTTATTAATCCATTACAAGTAACAATTATATGGTGTTAATATGGTAATTATACCATTGTTACTGTATCTAACCATTACTTATATATCCCATGTCACGTAAAAATACTGTAAAGTCTATAGATACATGATAACATCATTACCATATATGTATATATACCATGATTACTGTTAATATAACCCAATATATAACGACTATCTATTCCGGTTGGTGGTTTCAACCCCTCTGAAAAATATGAAAGTCAGTTGGGATGATGACATTCTCAATATATGAAAAAATAAAAGCCATGTTCCAAACCACCAACCATATGTATAATAATATATATATATGTATTCTACCATTATTAATGCTAATATAACCCAATAATTACTATCTATTAATATCATCTCATCAAAATGATATCCCCATTGGATGCTAAAATGGTCCACCTGGGAGGCATCGGCCAGCGCGATGCGCCGCGGCAGCGTCACGTGCCCCAGCTGACCCAAGGTCTGATGCGCCGCGTCGTAGACCGTGGCATTCCTGGTCTACCCAGCCAGATGCCGAAACGGACAGCTGGAAATGAGGGAGGAAACCGTCACCGAACGAACATCCTGGAAACACCAATTTCTGTTTTGTTGGGGGATTACATAGAATTGATATCCCAGTGCTGGCTTTTGTTCCCAACCTTTAATCTTTGATACCCCAATTGTCGGTTCAGATATTCAGTATTGATGGCTCCTGGCACCACAAGGTGGCTCCCTATAGCTAGATAAGTCGCGTTAACGAAGTAGGTCTAGGAATGACTAGTCAAGGGTTTGTAATCTGCTGAATTTTGAGTCACCCCAGAATTCTGTTCCACTTTTCGACTCGGCAAGTACTGGATGCAGCTGTCCAAGGTGCTGGATATCGCCAGAGCCTGTCAAATGGATGGCGCTGACCAACCAAGTCCTTAGCCCAACCCCAAGATCCCCAAGTAACCAAAAAGAAATGGCCTGGTTCTGGGTAAATTACAACTTGATTCACAAACCTGAAAACTTTGGCGATTTTGGGCTCTTGGGACCCCAAACAATAAATTATCCATGGTTGGTATAGACTGAGAATGACCAACATGGTAAGTCTTTTGATTTGATCCCTACCTTCTTTTTCTAGACAAAGCTGGTCAGAGCAAGTCAAAGCCGTAGTTGTGCTTGCGCAACCCTTGCAGACAATGGATGTATAAATCATACATATAAACATAAATATAAATATATACTGTTAATCACTATTGTTTATTATTGTTTATACGTAAGTTTTTATACGGTTTTGGTCCGAAAACATGGTACCTCTAAATCAACTAGCTGATTAAATATGCTTTTGTTTGCCTATGTTTCTTCAAATGTAATCTTTGGGGCCCAAGCCCCATTTCAAACACATACACACACACAAAATAAAAATCAAACATCGGGCCTTCAAGGCCAATCATTGCCCATCATCCTTTGCCCCCTTTGCCAACCGCATCAAGGTGCTGAAAGTAGCTGGGAGGACAATCACAGGAACAATCTTCTTGCCGCAGCATGTTGCCTCTGCTACCGGCTATAGCTGTGTCAGCTTTTGGCCTTGACAAAGTATAATTTTGGGATTTTACACAGCATGAAGCATAGACATACCCTCCGGTATATTGACACAAAAGTATGTAAGTCATGCTCCTGCTGTTTCCCATGTGTTCTTCTTTCATATGGTATAGTTTACTTAAACATAATGTTAACAAATGTCGGTCCGTTGGGGACCCCGGCAGCTATCAAAGAAACAAAATACACCGCAAAGCCCATGAAGCAAACACAAGCAACTATACCGGCAATGGAAATGCACATTTTTAAGTTTAGGCAAAGCACAATTCCAATGTTTGATGATCAAAGGATAAGTATGCATTATTCTACTACATGAAAACCATTGACCCATTTCCGGGATTCTTACAATGGCCCATACTAGCTTAATGCCAACACAAAACAAGCGTCCAGGCCCAAAACATGTACGACCACGTGTGGTGTTAAGTTTGACTTTGATACCATTAGAAGAACACCACTGTATACTCTTCAAACTCCACTGGAGGATCCACCAATATGAGGCTTCCCAAAATGCGGAACGCCTCATATACCCAAATTACAATGTTATAATAATTAATCATGTTTAAAGCGAAAACCAATGGTTTGGCTCAAGAAATACTACCGGGGACCATGAAAACCAGACACCTCCCCATACCTCCCCCAGGCCTGAACAACTTTCCATACAAATGCCCGGCATCCGTTGGCAGACTTCGTAGCCCGCACGGCACAGGGTCTGTTCCAAGGTGGTGTTGGGCGGTGTGAGCCTAGCTGGGACCATGGGAGATCTAGGTGCACCCGGTTGAACATAACCAGCAAACAAGATGGAATATAAGTGTTAGTAACCAGTTGGTAAACATGAAACTTACTATATAATTCTATAGAATTCTATAGATCACTTTATCTCACTATATACATACTGTTCTTTTTCTCGGAGGTTGCTACACGTGAAACGGTGGATGCTTGGGATCAATGAAGAAGCAATAGATGCAATATATAATACAATATATGTATATATATATATGTATAATATATATATACACATAATATTATATGTATCTTATATATCTGTATCTTACATATCATCCAATACATTCATGGATGATATGAACATGGTAAACTGAACCAATCTTGGATATCTCCGACCATCTCCCACGAAACAGTGCTGGTCTCATCTCTTCACCGTTCTACAGGATTGGTGATAGCATTTGGAAAAACATAAGCTCGTGGTGATAGTGACTTATCCCCAAACATTTGAAACTTCACTCACGATTCACTCGGAATATCATAACATGTTGAGTTAAACCGCATTTTTTCTGATCCAATCAGAAGCAATGTGCCTGATTGGAGGTGACTATAACATCCAATCCGTCTAGACCAGCAGCCTTCACCACTTTTTAGCTTATAGTGAAATCAATTGAATCACCATCTTGTCTCGGTGAAGATTGGTTTGTCTGAAAAAGGCGGTATGACCGATTCTGCTGGATTACATTGGATTACTCTCTGGTAAACTAACATAGCTATGGAACATCACCATCTTCAATGGGTAAATCCACTATAAATGGTCCATTTTCAATAGCTATGTTAGTTTACCAGAGGGTACATTGGATTACCATGGATTACCAAAGTTTTCCGCGTTAAGAGTTGCGGCTTCTTCTCACCTCGGCTTCGCATGGCACGCTGAACCCTCGCGCTGCTCGTAAGGCCTTGGCGCCACCGATGTATCCAGCGGGCACCATGTGACCTATGAATATGATAAAAAATGATTACCATCTGGTTATTTAACATAGCCATGGAAAATCACCATTTTTAATAGGTAAACCATCTATAACTGGGCCATTTTCCATGGCTATGTTAAATAACCAAAGGGTAAACATATCATATAATATCCACAGCGTGGGGATAAGACCACCATTTCTGCACAAAGCCAAACATGTTTTCCTTGACGATGGGGTACAAATGGTTCATACCCGCATCAATCATCGTCAATACCCCCCTTCTTCTGCCAATTTCTAGCCAGAATCCCAAAGTTTGACGGTGAATATATAACCACCATTGATATCCCCATTGTTGCTAGTTTTGCGAGTAAATGTATGTTTATCCCGCCATCTTTAAACCTGAAAAAGTATATGTATCTGCTTGTAAACTACCGTACAGTAGCTCTGGAAAGTCACCATGTTTACTATCTACATTCATGGGTCATCTATACCACAGCAATGGGAGTTTACTGGAGGGTTATGATTAACTATCCAACTATCCCGTGAAATCCCCATGAATATCATGCGAACGCATCTTAAAATCACATCTGTTTAAACGATTATTGTTATCCTTCAGTAAAATTAACATAGACCCTGCCATGAGGGTTAAAAGATGTTAAAAGACTAGTTTCCACATGTTTCTACTAAATTTATCACATGAGCTAGTTTCAGGTTATGTTGGTTTTGAATCATCAATCCCATGAAATCACCATGAATATTCCATTTAATTCTTCATTTTTGAGTAGGGTGACCATCACTAATGTTATCAACAATGGGACATAATTGGCCAACAATGGGGATCTGATGGGAACATCACCAACAACAATAGATGATCAGTCGATAACAAGGATGCCAAACCCATCCAAACCCTATGGTCAGGGTATTAACCATCAATTTATACTTAAATTCCTCCTGGTAATCCAACATAGCTATGCGAAAATGGTCCGTTTATGGAATTTTGAAAACAGAAAAACACATGACATCACCATCAACATTCCCATTCAAAAAAAACAAAACATGGAACTATCTGGGTAAATTATAATATTTCACTAACCTGAATTAAGGCCATTTTGGGCTGATTTCCCAATAAAAACCATGATTTCCAGTGAGGTCGCAGTGAGGTCGTTATAATTTACCCAGAACTATTTCATGAAACCCTCATACCCTGTGGTAATTTAACGTAGCTATGGAAAATCAGCATTTTTAATGGGAAAACTCACTATAAATGGTCATTTTCAATAGCTATGTTAAATTACCAGAGGGTAAACCATCCATTTTTTCACCTCCCATCTGCCGAGGCACGTGTTGCAGGCCGCCAGCCGTCGCAGCTCAGTGATCTGCGCGCCCAGCGTCAAGGTATCCAGGGCCTCCTGGTGGACGCGCCTTGGTGCCATGGTGGGTGGAAAACATATGAAAAACACATTCAAAATATAGGGAATACCTGGAAAATACGGAAATTGAGTGGAACATATATTCAAATTTGAGGTACCCAAGGCACCCAAGGTACCCTAAAATAGCTGGTTCATGGGTGTTTCTTCCACCTTTTAAAAATCCTTTTATATGGCAAAAGTGTTTGACCAATCCCTAATCCCCGGAAAATATATGCAAATATATTGAACACATTATGGGAGGCACAAGGAAAACATGACAATTTCTCTTGGCAAAAAAACTTCGGTTGGGACGTTTTTCTTCGGGGATCGTTTCTGGAGGACAACCAGGGTCCAGGATCATGGTGGTCCCAGGTGCGATCTCTGACTCTTGATGTCATGGGTGGATCCCGGGTACCCTCTGGTAAACTAACATAGCTATTGAAAATGGCCATTTATAGTGGATTTATCCATTAAAAATGGTGATTTTGCATAGTTATATAATATGTTAGTTTACCAGAGGGTAAAATGGAAGTGAATTTGAACCGATCAACAACTTGCAGTTTGGGAGACTTGGCAAGCAATGGCAAGCACATTCATTTTCTCAAATTGATGGTCACATATCCCAGTATATCGTAATATCCCATTATATTTTACTGGTTGGTGGTATACCTACCCCTCTGAAAAATATGAAAGTCAGTTGGGATGATTATTCCCAATATATGGAAAAACAAAAAAGCCATGTTCCAAACCACCAATCAGTTTATCTCATTACCCTCCGGTAAACTAACATAGCTATTGAAAATGGCCATTTTTAATGGGAAAATCCACTATAAATCACCATTTTCAATAGCGAACTGTTAGTTTACCAGAGGGTATCCCATTACAATACATGCCATATCCATTTTTTGACTGCTTCAGTCTCGTCTCTGAGAAATGCCGAGACTCAGCTCATCCAATTGCGCAGTGTACATTGGCAGATCGTAGTAGGGTCTGCCCGACGTCAACATCGCAGGGAAACCTCATGGCAAAGTGCATCAGATATCATCAGATCACATCAAGTCATGGTTTATACTGCACTTCAAAACACCATATATATATACATAGGTTTCTAGCAATAATATATTATATATTGATTTAATATCAGGTAAACAGATTATGTTTCGTTTTCCAAATATTGCTATACCTCCGAGGTCAATCCCACATGTTCATCCATGTCAATATAAATCCAACATGAGACTGGAGAATATCCTATTTATACATCTACTGTATATATAATAATAATGATAATAATAATAGAAATAATAGTAATAGTAATAACAATAAAAATAAAAACAACTGTATATATAATTATATATATATGTCATTAAAATTAGCTTACCATTAAATAAAACCACCATTCAGAAGGATTTCCTAGCAAACCATCTTTGAATACCAGAAGACAACTACTTACATTCCCTGCCATTTCAGGACACTAAGTTTTCATAGGTTTTCCCATTTTCCCCATTAAAAACCTCCGCTTGTAGATGATTTTCCTTCTTGACAAACAAACACAGCGGCAGGGTCACTCACCTCTGACCTTGCAAGACCGTTTGAGTCTCAAACTCAACTAGATGATGTTCCATGATTTTCCCAAGGAAAACCGTCCATTTTTCCAATTTTTCCCAGGCGCGTTTCATGTTCACCGGCCCTACGTGGAAGACGTCCCGTTGCTCCGGCGCCACAAAGGGCGCCTCCAAGATGTCGCTGTGCGCCACGCTGCGATAACCTGAGGAGACGAAGCTGCCGTCCTCGGCACCGGTGCTGGATGTAAACACTGAAAATAGGGGGGAACTTCACCATGAAAACTGGTGGCAAAATGGTGATTTCACCATGAAAATGGTGATTTAGCCATGTTGGGGATTGAAGCATGAACAATGATGCAACATGCTGGGATTTTGCCAAACCATGGTGACCCTATGGTGATTGGATGTGGATTTGACCATGAAAGTGGTGAACAGTTGGGTGTTTTAACCGTAAAAAAGGTGAACAATAGGGATCTAGAATCTAGCCGGAACAAATAGGAATTGATCAAACAAAACGGTGATTTAGCCACCCAAATTACGAGAATCTTATGTTAACACATGATTAGTATATGTGGATGTTAGAAACATGTTAAACCATGTGGATTTCACCATCAAAACTAGGGATTTAATGATGATAGTCATGGATAGTTGGATGTGTCTGGAAAATTGGTAGTTAGACCATGTCTGTGGCCATTTTGATGGGGAAAACCAAGATAAACTGATAAACCATCAAAATATACCAAAATCATCCAAAATCCATGAAATTTGGGAGTAGTGTAGTTGTGGATGCTGAAAAAAAACGAAGGCTCCAACAAGACTATACAATGGATATTGTCTATTGCTACAGTAATTAATGAATGTTAAACTGTGCAGTGTCCAGTTTTTTTCACCATAGGTGTCTACAGAGACATAAACCAAACTTGGGGGAACACACCTTCTCTCAACAGCAACATGGAATGTCCAAACAGAGCGTAGTCATGCGTAGTCTGTAAAGTTCTAAAGTCCCCTTATGCGTCCTCCCACAAACGAGTACGATCAGTATATGGTCCTTAAAAACACAACTGGCCCCTCAACAACAATATCAAGACAAGTGGTCATATCCTTGATTATTACATGCCTTGTTCAGAACATCTCCAACTTTTTCCATCTCCCAAGAAAATACCTAGAAACTAAAACATATCAGATATCTCTGACTGCAGCTCTATCACATCCAGCTTGGTCAAGCATCTTCATTTTTGTCCACGGGTCCATGTTCAACCCCAAATTTATATAAGATCAACATCTTTTGACCCAGGGTGGACTAAACAAAAATATCTGGTCTTTCCCTGGATTTTTTCAAAGTTTTCCCTGTTTTTTTCTCCAAAAGTTCCCATGTTTTCCACATTTTTCCACCTTGGCCAAGCATCCACGTAGAAGAAGATGTTGTGCCTCGATGCCACGTTTTGGGTCACCGTAACTGCCACATGTCGCCAAGGCTCCCGGGAGTTGTCCCAGGAGAAACTGCTGGAGGCGATGCTGCTGTCCTGCACTCCCATGGAGCGGGGATCCTCCTGGACCTATAAAGATGGACCACCAACAAATTATTAATCTGGGTAAATTTATAGTGAGTTTTCCCATTAAAAATAGTGGTTTCCCATAGTAATCCAATAATATCACCATAGATCTGGGTAAACCTATGGTAAATTAGAATGGTTAATCTATGGTTAATATGTGTTACTATGGGTTAATGATGGTTAATCTATCTGGGTAAATGAAATAATATTTCACTAAGCTGAATTGTTGGGCCATTTGGGATGATTTCCATTATTAGCCATGATTCCAGTGAGGGAGAACAGTGAGGTCGTTATAATTTACCCAGATTAATAGAGTAGTGGATTATAAATGATGGTCCACTACTCTATTGAAAAATGGTGTTCTAACAATAAATAATTAATATAGTAATGGATTGTTAATCATTTATGTTAGAACATGTAACTGTTGGAAATACTTATGATGATGGATTATTCATGGATTATATTAATGAACTGTAAGTGATGAACAAAAATGATCACTGTAAGAACACGTAACATTATTCAATTCGCATAGGAGTATGCATTTTTGTAATTTCAATTGATCCAAAACTGTGGTATTCTGATATTCAGTTTATTATCTGGGAATTATTACTGTACTCATGAATGGATCATATAGTCCCTATCCATGAACCCTAGATTATGAGTTTGGGTTGATGTCAATACCTACGGTTTGAATGGATCCAAATCGTGTCTTCAATTAATTTCTCTAGCTTAGATTCGAATGGATTGAAATCTCTAGTTGATCTTCTGATGTTGTACTATAAGATTGAACTGGATTGATTTATTGAATATTATTATAATTATAATATATACTTTGAGAAGCTATGATTTGTTCATGGGAATTGCTACACTTGATGGAGGTGTTGACAGGTTACGTGCAGTGGAGTGGAACCGAGTTTGGAGGTTGGATTCATCAGGGTAAGAAAATATCACCATCCATAATGGAAACCTGTCTGGCGCTACGTATGAACATCGTATGTATCTAGCTAATCTCATCCAATCTAATCCAATCTAAGCTGCTAGTGTAGTCACTAGTAGTCAAATCTAATCCAACAATCCATCTTTCCATAGATTGTTGGTGTCCAATTTCAGGATTCCCTGCCTCAGCACTGATGTGAGAGGCTAACGTCACTCGACTGTGGTAGAAGACCAGCCTAAGAGCTAAGGCGTCAGCTGCGCCACCATGGCCTTTAAAGGGTTTCAACCAAAACGGCCCTGAAACCCTGGGATTTCAAGGCAGAATGGGCCTCAAAGGTCAAGGGGATTCCAATCAAAATGGACCCATCATTGAGTTTCTCTGGATTCGCATGACAATATGTTTCAAGAGGTACGAACACTTGTAGGTACTTGGCCAAGCAGGCTCCGTGGGTGAGCTTTGACCATCCAAATAGAGGTGCTTCCCATCAATTATGCTCCTTCAAATCTGGGTTCCCACTGTTTCCAGGATATTAAACAAAAGAAACAAATGCCTTACACAAAACGAGCCGCACGCTGTTGTCGCATCCGAGAAACTGCGCCTGTCCAGCGCTCACATGCCTCAGTGCCAAGTACCTGATGCTTCGAGACATGGTTTTCCTGTAAAGGTGCAATCCTTATTCTTCCTGGATAAGTCATGATAAATCCACGTTCTGGTCGCAATTTAAATCACCAGTTTGCGCCGTTGAATCCATGTCTACGATGTCATGAAAGAAGATTCCCTCCACAACTCCCCCAGTTGTCGATGGGGCACCACGAGGGGAAGCTACCGAAAAGCACGGCCAGACTACTGACGCTGGTGACACCTGATGCCATCGTCCAAAAGAGTTCTCAGCTGGAAAATGGTTGCCACAAGCACTACATAACAGATATAACATCTGTATATATTTGATCGGTTGCCAGTTATCAAATAAAACATACGTATATAAACAAAAGCAAACGTCAGAAAACCAAAAATTAGCCCAGACATGCCCAGACCATGACCACAAACACTATGAACTATCACTAAGAGAGTTGCCTTGATTACAGTAAGTTCCTGAATGTTGTCCATCCTAAAATTCATCATGAGCATCATCTATAACTAAAATAAACTTTATGAAGAATCATCAATATATGCAATAACACTGTCTACACACTGACTGACACCACATCATCACTGTCATGCTGTGTATCATCACTTTCATATCCATAGATTGGTTTATGGAAGCACACGCACACACACACACACGAACAACAACCCTGGTTTTAGCCCCAAATAAATTATCCAAGAACTCACCAGCACAACCCTCCAATTTGATCCAATTTGGATATCACCATCCTTCATATATATATATATATCCAAAGGCAAATATTTCGCGATGAAACTCTAGGCCTGTCGGGATGGCATCCAAACCTGAGAGGCGACAACAATATGGAAGGAACTCGTCAAAATTGTCTTGACACGTTGACATAGGTGAAAAATAGATAACTTCACTCAACTTCACTCCTAGCGGCTAGCGGCGTAACCACACAAACAACTCTTCGAACATGGTTTGACATTTGAAATCACCAAGGTTCTCAAGTGATAAATTCCACACAAGTGCATTCAATTCAGCCGTTACAAAATCATGATGGAACACCTTCACACAATGTTGCACCAGCCAGGAGAATAGCAAGATTGCAGGGGAAAAAAATTAGCACCTCGGTACTTGAGCCGTGTTTGTAACCACTTGCACGGCAATTTTGGGTAACCTCCGCGAAAAACATGATTGCGCCCAGAAACTGATGTTCACAAAAGTCTCCACCGTGAAAGGAGGAACCAGCGGTGCCACCGCCAAACCTGCCACGGTTTCATCCAGCAAGGGGTGTACCCTTTGAGCTATGGGATCGCTATTGAAAACGACTATATATATAATATTATATAATAAACCAGAAAAGATGCAAATACTACGACCATACTTCCATTGGTCCAAGGTCCAATGTCTTCAATGGTCAATTTTTGCTTCGCAATGGCGTTGAGAGTCCAAGTTTCTGAACCGCTCTGCTACAGTTCTGCTGGTGCTTCAGAGACAAATCGCTTCTGGAATCTTCTGGAAGGATATTCTCTCTTGATAAGGTCGCCATCAAACTTTGGCCAGTATATATTTGTAAGCAAATAAGGTGTCACCCAAATCATTCCCAACCATGTTGGGGGTCATCTTTGATTATACAATAGCTGTGGTATCATGTAGCATCCAATAAACATCCAAGGACATCAAAGGACTATAATATTCAGGTTACCTTGGACTCCAAATCAACCAACCCCCCAATCCACCCCATCACCCCTCACCTTTAGTTCAATAATGCTACTCCCATTTCCAAACCTCTAGACTCTAGATTATACCATATTATACCTTCACAACAACCCCTTAACCAACCTTCACCTCCCATCTCCCCCTGAGGCACTCTCCGCCGGCGGCTTGGCTGCCACGAAGGCCAGGGTGATCTCGCAGCCGTCGCCGGCGCCGCGGCCGCTGCTGGTGAAGTTAGCCACGGCCGTGAACTGCGGCGCCTGGCGGCACGGCGGCAGGGTGGTTTGATGTGAGCATTTGAGGAGCCAAAAGCAAGATAAAGCTAGCAGATCAGGAGCAGTTTTCATGGCCCCGTGATCAACGGTGGTTTCTTCCTAGCAAGGAAGAATGCAGGAAGAATAGGTTTCCAAAATGTCCGTTCCTTTTAACCGCCAATGCCAGGAGAAGTCGTGCAATAAGGCGACTTCTTACACTGGGCAACTCCCACCAGCCCGCTCTCCCTTGCGGACAAGTAGCTGTGATTCCAGCTGGGAGGTCACATTCATGATAAGAGTTGTTGCCTGAATCTCATATCCGCTGGCACGGCACCATCTTCTTCGTTTCGTGGTGAGCACCACGAGAAAGAAAACGGTCTAGTCAACTGGTCCAGTATCTTCCAAGATCCATGCATGATAACAATGGTTGGCACTTGCAAGCCATCGATCATATTTTGAATTTGTTTGTCACTTAGCCTCTGGTGTACTCAACAGATCTGTCCATTCCTTATTCATGTTTCTGCAATGACATGAGTAATGAAGCCATAAAACACCCACTTACAAAGTACACAGCAATTACACATATGCTACATATGTCACATATGTCAATCTGTGAAACTAAGAAACATGAACTGTCTTCAGATCTATCCTCGTGCTAACAACGTCAACTTGTGCCTTCCTGGGTGCCCGAACATACAGGTGACCAGTAGCCAATTTCACCTTGGCATGAACGTCCCACTGGGCGTTGGTCCACCTGGCACGTCTGCCGACACACCAAGGAAGGTTGATGTCATGTGCTACAGACTTCAAGTCTTGTCCATCACCTCTTCCACTCTGCCTTTCTAGCTGCTCAGTTCCTATGAATTTGGCAGAATACGCAAAACCTACAAAAAACATCTTCAGCATCGTACACGTTCCAGCAATACAGCGCTGGCTCCTGATGACTTGTCACTGGAAGCCAATGTAAAGGCTGCAAATCGCGCAAGAATCCCTCCCTCACTCAGCCACACCTCTTGGCAGAGAAATGCACAACTGCTGTTTGGCCATTTATAGGCATAAAAATAGTGGTTCCCCGTCACTGCATCACAGACCTGCGGAGCTGGATACCCACACATCCCCAAACACAAAAAAAACTGCTGGTCTCAACCAACATGTTCCGTTCTGCAGATCTAAGCTCAATCATTTGGGTAGAGTAAGCACTGGGGTCACAAATGTATTGAACATGATGCGGTAGGTATCTTTACAGATACAACAGCATCGAGTATCAAGCTGGGCTAGTCCCTCTTCCAAAGATACTTCAACCATCACATTATTCACACTACAGGTGGCATTTCGATATGGAACATCTAGATCCTAGAGGCTAAAGCAATCTAATAGGCCCTGACAAGCTGTTCGGTGTCACAACAGAAATTCTTTGCTTCTCTGGCATAGCAGCCTCAAGGCTCATTGTCAGAAATAAGATTCTGTGTACATGTTGTTTTCTCAAATCAACTTAGGACACTGAGGACACCTAAACTATTCAAACTCGGCATGACAGCAAACAACCAAAGAAGATCAAATACGTCGGTCCTGCTCAGTCTCCCCATCTGCCCACAGACTTCGTATTGCTGCACTGCAGGTGCCGTCCTCACAGCCGAAACGCCTGCAGTTCAAAACCAGCAGGCGGTTCAAGAGAACATATATTATATCAAACAACGAACGGACAGTCACATGTTTTGCCGTTGCAACCAGCTGACGTTGCCTGGAACCTTAAAGCTGTTGTGCCAAAACATATTGTGTCATACATAGTGTTCCTTGCAATGTGCATTGGAATTGTGGTGCATTGCGATTGTTGGACACAGCTTTTCTCAGGCACCATGAAATTTACTGGACAGTGGAACATGACATGAGCAAAACAAGTCAAACACAGGAGTGCTGCCACCTGTAGCAGCCTGACTCACAGCTGCTGTCGCAGCCAGCCAAAGCGCATATCTAAGCGGTGATTTTGCGGTGGTGGAACAAACACAAATTGCACCACTTGCATTCAATGAACAGCACCACAACCACAGTTGTATAATACATCATCATATATCATATATAAGTATGTAATGAATATTCTATAGTTGTTAATGAATATTCTATAGTCGGCTTCCACATGCTGCAGAGCAATCCGCAAGACTCGCTCTATCAACAAAATTATAGCCTGTATTCGTGTTCAAACAACGCTACCATTTGCAAATGATTGCATGCTCCTCTTCCGACTCTTTGTTTCGTTTCATTTCCTGTCACGAACTAAGGCCTATACCTGCGATGATTGCTCCACGATCAATTGTGTCTTCTGCGCATCACTGCATTGGTTCTCCTGGTGCTCTCTCATGACTGGATGAAAACAAACAACATCAACATACATGACTGACCTGCAAGAGATCGGCAATAACGCTATAGTATATATACCGGTTTGTCCCAAATTGTTGCTGAAAATCATGGAAAATCATGGGTTCCGAGGCTGCTCCTGTTTCAGAGTCTCTCACCATGCACTTTCATCTGTTGGATCCCAATGATCCCATGCCATGCCCATTTGGCTGATGAAGTCATGGGGGATAAGGTTCCTCTGACCCAAATGAAAGTGTTCGAGCACCCACAGCGAATGAGTGACCTTGAGTTCAAGTGATCCCAAGCGACCCGCGTTTCACAGCGTACATACCAAGCAACCAAACGGTCCAGTATCTGATCTATTGTGCTTAACTCTCCTCGCTGAATTTGGTTTGCCGCCCAAACAACCAGCATGTGGCGCTCAATTGATTTGCGAAAGCCCGGAAGTCAAAAAACATCAACCAGTTGGAATTAAATTGGAAGGACATTGTATTACAGTGTACTTCCAGTGCATTTACTTCCGCAAGATCAACACATGCGGATGCGGATGGGATATGATGGGATGGGTTCAAAAAGCCAACTCAAAAATGCGATGGTTTACGAGTTTACGATCCACATATATCACTATCTGTGGTTCTTCTGAGATTGAAGTTTTGCCGATGCCAACAATCTGGTTGTGTCCCCGTTTTCTGGATCAGCTACAATCAATGCCCATCAACACTATTCAAGGATATTCAAGGCCATGTTTGATGATTACCCTACCAACTAGGTATACAGATGTATACAGCAACCATTATTCATTGTCAGGTCATTTGAGGCCCTATAGATTATCCAAATGAATGAATTGTATTTTTCTGCAAGCTTCAAAATATGGGTATTAGTTACCACAAAGGAACAAACAAGAATTCCCAAATTCCCAAACCTTGATAGCATATTTAAGGCAATTTGGGATGCTTCCCCGTGCTAACCATCATTTACGACGAGGTCGCCGTGAGATTAAATGGCTCAAGACTTGTCCTAGCATATGGCCAATCTTGGACACCCTGCAGAATATTCATCAATTTAGCTGATTACAACTACAACAACTACTACATATTCCCAAGATGCGGAGAAAACCAGCCCAAAAAAAAGCATCACGTACTAAAATTGAAACACCTAAGCTAGGTTAAGCATAAGGGTTATTTCTGATTATTGATGTTTCATGTAAATCTATTGGGGTATTGCATGTTATTGATGTTACATTGTTTATCTATTGGATTGAAGATCATCCAACAAGATTGACACACATTTCACTGGAAGGCACCACTCGAGAACCCCCTCGCTGCCGCCAGTACCCGCTCCTCTGGCATGGGCTTGGCCGCGCGGACCGTCATCTCCTGCACGGCCTGCAGTTGCAGCACCTGCGGCCGAGGGCCATGTGGGACACGCAGTGGAGGGGCAACCAAAATTGGTGACTTAACCATCCAAAAATGGGGGTCTTAGATGGTTCAACCATCCGGTTGGTCCGGAAGATTGGGCGGAAATGGGGCGAACATCTCTGGGTTCCATGAGAAATTAGGAAGAAAACAGCAAAGAAATGGAGGTTCGATGATTATAAGACCTTTGAAGTACATTGAAATACGCTGTGTTATTGATGTAATATCATGTTCTTATATGTTCTTGTATGTCCTTGTCAAGCAAGATCAATCTAAGGTGTCATGGATTCATCCGAACAGAGGGTGTGGTTTCAGCAAGGCAGTGCCTGGTCTCCTACAGTAAAGGCATTGGTGTCGCTGCTGCTGCGATCCACATAGCTGGCGAAGGGTCCCAGCAAAGAAAGGCCTGGCTGAAAAAGGTGGGGCACCATTGTTAAACAGCAGAAACACCGGGAAAAAGTGGTGTTTTTACTATCTTTAAACAACAACAATATGGACATGTGTTGTTGACTTATGTTTGCCAAGTTGGTTCACTAATGTCAACTATGTCCAGGGACAATGGTAACTTGAACAGATGCAAACATGTGAGGATGGGTCACTACTTGTTCTACCATTTTTTGGGGGGGAGGGGATGAACATCTGTTTCACAGCCATTTTCATGTTCACCAGGGCTACCGCCACGGGATTTCAAGCGCATGTGCCATAATTAAATTGCAGAAGACCTGGTTGTCATACCACATGAATACACTATGTAACTATCATTAGCATGATATTGATATACAATACAAATTAATGGGGAACATGTAAACATCACCCCACGAGAATGAAGAACCAAAAAGCGCATCACATCAAAAGTAATCCCTTCCCTCCACATTAAAATTCCCGAACCGACCCTGATGAAATGTACTGGATCTATCCACGATTTAGCGGTCCGTATTGGCGCTATCTGATATCAACTCCCCAGTATATCCTGATGATGTCCTGATCATCTCCTGACTATCTCCTGATGATATCCCCACACTCTTCATCATTAACGTCCCGGTGTATTCCAATAAATTCTTCATTGCACCCCAAGTTTGATGAGTAACCCCTTTATTTGAATACCCCTATGATGCTCAGTTTTCTTTATCATCATATCCTGATGATGATGATGATGATGATGATGATGATGATGATGATGATGATGATGATGATGATGATGATGATGATATTCCCACCTGTTTCATCATTAACCGTGCAATGATTGTACCAATGTGCCCAATAAATACTAATCTGGTAAAGCCAATAATGACCCGTCCTACCAACCATGACAGGGGGTAATTTTACATGATCCCAAAGAACGGGGTATACCCAATAACACAATAAACCTCTATTGGGGATGGTCTATTATGGGGTGTACCATGGTCTACCACGTTAGCGTTTTCCATCATTGCAGGGGGCCAACCCCAAAAGCCATCGCTGACCATCGCCCACCGAGGAGCCCTTGGTCACATCCAGCCGCACGTGCCGCTGCTCCCCGCTGGCGGCGAAGAGCTCGGTGCTGGAGGTGTAGGGAACGTCACCCGCGTAGGGCCTGGGCTGGGGCTAAGGTCGGGATGGAGTGAGTTAAATCCCTCATAATTGGAAGCGTTTGTAGACTGTTAAAATTTCAACATTACTGTTTTTGGAGAATCTAAAAGCGATTTCCCAAAAGGAACAAACATAAAATGATATGAATGTTTAGTTGCAAATGTCCTGATGTTTCAATATTGTTGATGATCCTCAATTTCTGTGTTTCTGCTTAATAATCATCACTTTAATGACTACTTTAATGATTAAACCATTCCTATCAAGGTCATGTTTGAGTATCTCCATTCTTGCCAACTAATCTCCTCCATGTTTGCTTTTGTATAAATCCGCTATGTTTGAATGATTGATGACAACCACCCTGCAACACGTACTCTATAGTTGTTGTATTTTGGCAATCGTTTGCAGTTTGATGGTAAAGTCAGTTTTCTCGGCTGAAAAGTGACTCTGCCTCCATGGCATTCAGGGCCCCGCACGTCACCGACAGAAGCTCCCTGGCCGTGACATTGAAGAGCCGACCTAAGGGGCGCGAAGACAATGATGACCATGCATGGCTGATTGGTTGGTCATTGAAAATGCTTGAACCATGTTGAAACCTGGGGTAGTGTCGACAATCATGATTTAAGGAAAATGATGGAAAATGTTGGATCAACCAAGAAAATATAGGATTCAACCATCGGAATTGAGGTATAAGTTCCACAAATCATACATAATCAACAATCAAATAATCAATGATGCAATGGGAATAAGTGGAGGGTTAACCTTGAGAAACGTGGGGATGGGGAAGTCACATTGTTAATAGCCGGAGAAGGGATTGTACCCCTGGTTGGTGGAATCCAGGTCGGGTCGTGTGTTTGTACACCAGGTTTTCCTGGGGCCTGGTAGCCCGGATGGCAGTTGCTACCTATTTGGCGTGATTCCTCCCTGAAAATACTGGTTGAGATATGTTGAGAACTGGATTTGCCTAGTGGATTGGGACATTCTTCACTCTATGGCTTGGTATATATGGTATATATAGTCTCCTAGAATATCTAGAATTAGTCATCAACAGGGGTTTGGCAGCCACTCAAACGTTGAACCCTAAAGCGGGTGCTGCCTATGGCTGAGTGCTCCGACCACAGAAATCCAAGGACAGCAATGGGACGCTGGTCGCAACCAGCTGAGACGAGGCCTGAAACTATCCACCCATTGGGGCCCATTGGAACATGAACCACCAGGTTTTATATAGCAGCTATGTAGAATGGGCCAAAAACCAAACAAATCTAAGGCTTTAAGGTCACCTGAGGTTGTTCCAACTTGCCAACTTGGAAGCTGGAACTTTGTAGACTATTACAACATATTCTTCTCAATCACACATAGACTGCCATAAGTTGCGTCCGTGCTGAAGTTGTGGCGAGCATGCTGGACACAACCTCCTTTCATCTCCTTTCTATATAGTTTTGCTCAAGTGAGATCATCTATCCAGCTACCCGAAAGAAGAATTACAACAGAATACGCTTGAGCATCAACAGCTACTATGTTGATTTTGTTTGGAAATTGCATAATCCGAAATACACTGGTTAATGCATAATTGTCCGTTTTAAAACTTGTTTTCTGGGTTATACCGATACCTCTTTGTTAAATAGATCCATGTACATATCATCCCTCTGATGAAAGAATTCCTCACTGCAAGCAGCAGTGACCATCACTGTCAGTTGCGCCTGTGGCAAGCGGTCCTCTGCATCCTGATCCGGGAACGCTGCAAATGGCAGCTACTTTGCGGTGACTTTCAGTTTCAACAGTTAGAATTTGATAAATTATAAGCCAAATTCACCAAATATATGCACACTCAAATGGATTTGGGTCACCATTGTCGACCCCAAAAAAACAAGGTCTGTTGAATGTTGAAATGACATGGCATGGCTAGATTACAGAAGGTTTGCACTCCCCCGGGCCTTGAAAACATTGGACAATTACAATATATTGGGCAATGCCAGAAATGGACATGTGCAATTTTCATCAATTTTCCCAACAAAATCTTCAGAACATTAGAACTACTTCACTTTGTTCTTTAAACCACTTCAAAAATTCAAGTCCTATTTTTCTGCCCACGGTAATCGTTATCACAGGGAAGATGCTTGACGGTGAGGGCCATCTCGTACCTAACTTGGCTGATCCTCCAAGGATGAAGCACATCATCTTACATTAGATTCCCAGATCACTTGGTTTTTATCTCTCTGAAACCAAAACATCATCAGACTCTTAGAGATTCCAAACAACAAAATCTATAGAGCAAGGATATTCTACAACCGGGGCATACTGGGGCTCTGCAACACCTCGATTTGGCTGGACTGCCTACCACGCCCCGCCTGCACGCGCTCCGACAAGCAGCGCTTCAGCGGCGTGGCGGCATCCGTTCCACTGGGCGCGGGAAGGGCCGTGCGAAGCTTCACCAGAACACCTGCTGGGTCTGCTGTGGATTTCTCAGAGGTCTGCGCAAAAAATCGTGACAAACGTGTGAGAAGATATAGTACTATAGTAGTAATAATGACAAAAACCATTCGTGACAATAATTACATTGATAATAGTCATCACAATAGCAAATACATGGTAATGATTTAAATATGAACACATAAAGTAACAATCTATATAACAATAAACATCAGCAATAAAACCAATGACAATAATCATCATCATCATAGTTATATGTACCTTTAGTAACAGTTGGTAACAATGATTGGAATAAGCCATAGCAATGCGAACAAAGGGTAGTAATGACAATGACACTACAATCATCTACAATCATATTAGCCATTTTATAAATAGCTGAAATCATACAATAGTAACAAAACACATCGGAAAAAAAAAGCTAACAATAAACAACATTAAATAACAATACTTAACATATTAAAGATGACACGACCCTAATTGAAAGTGTATATATATATATATATACATATCGTACATGTATCATTTGCATTTTTCTTCTTGGGGTATGATTTACGATTATCTCAAAAGGCTACACACTAATCTATCCCCCATTTATTCCGGGTCTCTGATGGGGGACATTTTGGATTGCGAGGATGGCAAACTACACCAGGGGCTATCATGAAATTCGGGAAGAATGGTGTAAACGTATATCTATCCATCCATCGGTCCACTCATCTATGAATACGTCCATGTTTGTATGTACTGTATACAGTATGTTTATATACATATATGACTACAATCGATTATACATAATATATATATATATATATTACCATAATATAACATAATATGTATATATATATATATGTATTTACACGTACAGTATTGCATAGTATCGCCTAGTTATTGACCAACATCATTTAACTCAAAAAAGGCTATGTCCAATCCATCCATGTGACGTATGCAGTTCAGGCACCATTGGCTGCATCCTGCACGGCATCAATGGCAGACACCACGGCACTTTGCGGTGAAAACTTCATGAGGCAATTGAACTCCGCCAGCGCGGTAAAGGTCGCCACCTGGATCCAAAGCTGAACCATGATGTGCCGAGTTTTAAAAAAAGTAGTATGGGAACATAAAAGAAAAGGAAGCGATTACGATGAAATATATACAGTATTTATATCATATATCAGTAAGAATGGGTTGGCTCAACAAAGCAGGGTAAGAGTGTAACAGTTGGTGTTTGAACTTGAAACCGTACAAGTTTGGGTGGCCATGATCTTGAAGCGCCAAACCACAGGAACCGCGAGCGCGACCGGGCGACCTTGTGGCTTTGGGACCTTGAAGGAAGGCTTCTAAAGTTGGATTGTGGAGATTTTGGAGCAAGGCCTCAAACAAGGTCCATTAAATATAGTTGTATATAATATTATATATATAATATAGTTACATCCATTAACTGTAGTTGTAATCCCCATCAATCCCATTTATTGGCGTTATAAACCAGCTTAGCTAACGAACTGGGGCACCACCTTGATGCGGAAACCTCTTCCCATCCCATCGGCCACCTGCAAGGCCAAAGCTGCGCCAGAGATCAGGGCTTCGACCGAGCGACGCAGATAGTCGAACTGGCTCAGCTGCATCACATCATCTCGGTGCTCCAGTGGTATGGTGGTTTGGAAACAGGGATGCTACAGCTTGGGAAAACAAACAACAGTTTGTTTCCGTTTCATTTGTGATATTTGTGTATGCGTTACGTATGGGTTACATCAATTTCTTGATGAAATGGATTCAACATGACCCTTCGCATGAATTCGACTAGAAGTATCAAGCAAGTGCCACCAGATATACCCTCTGGTAATTTAACATAGCTATGGAAAATCCACATTTTCAATGGGAAAACTCACTATAAATGACCATTTTCAATAGCAATGTTAGTTTACCAGAGGGCACATCCAACCTCCTGAGCTTGGCTGAGTTCAAGGCCCACGTTGATCAAGGCGAACACGTCATCCTAACATCAGCCGCGGTCACCAGCCACACCATACCAGCGACAAGTGGGGCATTGAAATGCATTAAAATCCTGGCTGTCAATGCTGATCATCCCCAATAAATCGTAGGTGTCATACAAAAACAGTTCTTGAAACACAAAAAATCTGGTTGGTGGTTTTAACCATCTTGAAAAATACGAGTCAGTTGGGATGATTATCCCATGTATTATGGAACAGTAAAATATGTTCTAAACCACCAACCGTTATGTTCATCCCCAGCTACCCTCTGGTAATTTAACATAACTATGGAAAATCACCATTTTCAATGGGAAAATCCACTATTAATGGCCATTTTCAATAGCTATTTTGACATAACCAGAGTGTATCATGGGTTTTGACCCATCCCAAAAATGACGCAATGACCAACATCACACGGAACTGCTTTAGACGACCGACCTTGGGGATCCAGACACAATGAGACCCCAAGAAATCGGAACCATGTTTTGGAAAAATACCCAGTTCCATGACGCTACATTTTTTTGGTATGTGTTCACACATATATATGTTATAGTATATATATATACATATGAATATTATATATATATATATATATTAGTTATTGGCATTTGAAAAATAACTGTAAAGGGTATGGGCATCTCACTGGGTGATTTTTGCCAGTGAGACAGGATTCCATATACCAATTGTAGCACCAGCAACCCCCAAAGTTCAGATAGACTCACGCGAAAAAAACTACGAAAACAAATCAGTGATGAACTAAGTTTTCCATAATTATCATGATCATTGTCTGGGGGTTTTCAAAAACGGTGAATCCCCAAGTCACCACAGGTTTAGATACTATAAGATACTAAGTCATGGTCATCCATGACTTAGGAAATCTCAATTCTAGTCGGATTTCTGTATATTATACCCTCTGGTAATTTAACATAACTATGGAAAATCACCATTTTTAATGGGAAAATCCACTATTAATGGCCATTTTCAATAGCTATTTTGACATAACCAGAGTGTATCATGGGTTTTGACCCATCCCAAAAATGACGCAATGACCAACATCACACGGAACTGCTTTAGACGACCGACCTTGGGGATCCAGACACAATGAGACCCCAAGAAATCGGAACCATGTTTTGGAAAAATACCCAGTTCCATGACGCTACATTTTTTTGGTATGTGTTCACACATATATATGTTATAGTATATATATATATATACATATGAATATTATATATATATATATTAGTTATTGGCATTTGAAAAATAACTGTAAAGGGTATGGGCATCTCACTGGGTGATTTTTGCCAGTGAGACAGGATTCCATATACCAATTGTAGCACCAGCAACCCCCAAAGTTCAGATAGACTCACGCGAAAAAACCTACGAAAACAAATCAGTGATGAACTAAGTTTTCCATAATTATCATGATCATTGTCTGGGGGTTTTCAAAAACGGTGAATCCCCAAGTCACCACAGGTTTAGATACTATAAGATACTAAGTCATGGTCATCCATGACTTAGGAAATCTCAATTCTAGTCGGATTTCTGTATATTATACCCTCTGGTAATTTAACATAACTATGGAAAATCACCATTTTTAATGGGGAAATCCACTATTAATGGCCATTTTCAATAGCTATGTTAAATTACCAGAGGGTATTTGTGGATGTTTCTATAAGAAAAAGGAGGGTGACCTCCATGGGTTATCACTGAGATTTCATTATCCTAAACCTCTACTAGCGACCGTATCATAGATGGTTAATGGATGTTTATCCCTCCAGTCATATGGTGCTGACTAACAGGTTTTGACCCATCCCCAAATAGTATGAACTAACTATATAATTATATATATAATGATCTCCACAATGATAATTATCACAAACCTCCTATAAAGGATTTATTCATAATTATCACACACCTCCATATAATATCATATAATATATCATATAATTGTCACAAACCTCCTATAATTATCACAAACCACAATTACATATGTATATATAAATATATAATTGTAATCTATTCAAGTTACGTTTATTCAAGTTACGTTTGTACATGATCTCCATGGAGGTTACACCTCCCATCTCCATCTCCATCTCCATCGTCCTGCGCATCCAGTTCTTGAGCCACGTCCTGGCGCCGTGTTCAAAAGACCTCCCGCATGAAACCT